GTTAAATTTTATTAATTTCTCATCGTTAAGTTTAAGAACTCAAAAATAGTAAGTATTTATTACTCTTTGACATTTTTAATATAATAAATGTTATATTATTTACTAAAAAATATTATTTTTAATATGTTTAAACTTAATTTTAAATGTAATGCTATTAACTCTTAAAAATAACCGGACGCCTAATAAAAATGAAAATACACGACATTGCAAAAGTAACTTAAATTGAAAAGTTAAATTCTAGTTGAAAATTTTTAAATTAATTTGTTTATAAAATTTATTATTAAACTAGTTAATAAATATTAAAAATATGCTTATATGATATTTTATAATTTTTTTAGAAAAAAGTGTTTTTAAATTTGAGGAAATACTCCACTAAATCTTAAAAAGCGAAATGAGAGTGTAGTAGTATTTATGAGTTTTGTTAACTCGATGAATTCAATTAACTCAATTAAAAATTAACGAGGTAATTTGAATAGAAATATTAATTTAGATAAAAATATAAAAATTTAATGAAGTATATGTTGAGTTACAATTTGTTAATATTAAAATTCAACACAACTCAATAGATTTAATGACTTATTACATATGAATTTTTTTTATTAACTTTACACCATTATGATTTTTTTCTCAATTTGTTTGAAGTAAAAAAATAAAAAATTGATAAATAATTTAATATTTTAATTTTTAAATGTTATGCATTATTTTGAGTTATGAGATAAATATTAAACTTCATAACTTATAAGAAGCTATAAAAATATTTATTTTGCAGTGCTTGATTTCTTATTTTAGGTAAATATTAAACTATTAATATTATATTATATTTTAAAATAAATAATTTTTTATTTAATTTTGATAAATTTATCATTTGAAATATTAGTAATAAATCATTAATCATATACAAAATTTTATTTTAATCCTTTCATAACCAGATCACGTGGAAGAAAAAATTTGTCAAAATTAACTGAACTCAACTCATTTTGATCAGATTAGATTATTTTTTATATCAAAATTCATCTAACTTAACTATGAACACTCTTAAGAAAAAGTATATAAGAGAGTAAAATTTGTATAAAGCATGGTGTGAAAATAAATTCAGTTGATTACAATTTACATCTTGCATAATCTAGTTGACTTGAAAATGAAAAGAAATATTTTCAGTTAATTATAGTTTTAGATTTAACAGTTATTTTAAACCTTTTTATTTAAAGATAAAATATTTATTACATATTAATTTACAATATTATAATAAATAAAAATAAAGTAATAGTAAGTAGAATTTAATAATTTTATCAAATATTTAATTTAAAAAGTTAAATTAATAGATTTCAGCTGTCAATTTTTAAAAAAAAAAAATCAACTTTTGAATAACTTATCACCTAGTTTTATAGACATGTTCATAATCAAGTAAAATAATTTTATTTACCAAAAACATCTATTTCAATTAAACAAGTTTATACAAATTACTATTTTAACATACTTTTTTTATTATCATTTCATAAAATAAATTATGGTTATTTATAAAGAAAATACTAATTAGTGCCCTATGAATACTGATTAAGAAATCAAAACTAAAATATTTTGTTAAAAAACATTACTAATACACCTCTTCCATGATTTTTAATAATCATCTTTTTTAATATATTGATTAGTAAGAGTGTATTTATAAATAAATAGTTTTATTAACATCAACTCTTAACGATAATTTTAAACATATTAAAATAGTATATTATTATTAAAATAAAACTATTTATTGTATTAAAAATATAAAATTATAATAAATAATTTATTTTTTAATAAAATCTAACTACAATTTTAGATACCAAAATCAACCAAATATATTTATCAATGATTTAAAGTTAATCAGTATTATATACGAGCTACTTTAAATGGAAATTAATAGTAAATCTTCTTTTTTTTTGTACATTTGCTCATTTTAGAGTCAAATTAAATATATTACAGACTGATTCCTTTTCACCAGCAGGAAAACAATGCAAAAAAGCGGTATGTTTTACCGGACAAAACGGAATAATGAAGTTGAAAGCTAAGATTATCATGAGGTTCCATCGGTTAGAATTAAGGAAAGAGAGTGAATGTCAACGAGAACAGATTCAATGCAAGTTGGTATCAACATGCTAGCTTTGGTAGTAGTACCAGGAGTTGATTATCTCATTTCCAATATATACAAAGAAACATATCCGATAAGACAGTGATAGAAGTTAATTTTGACTATAATCATACATAGATCGTTAAAATATTTTAATTAATCCATAATTTTCACCATCCATTTTAATTATATAGTTGATATTCACTTCTCTCACTTTCATCTCTATGTATAAATTTTGGTGGTCGCTCCTTGTATTTGAATTTTCGGCATCTCTATCTCTATCTTTTTCCATAGTTCATTTGGTGTGAAGTGACAAAGACAAGTAACTTTTATTAACAAGGAATATAGTAGTATGCCACCAAATGTACATATTCTTTTTATTGAGGCATAGTGTGAGTCTCGGGCGGTGGGAACTATAAATAGGGGTATGGTCATTTGGTGTTGACATGAGAACTGAGGTTGAGAGGAAGGGTCTTGTATGTGGGCAAAGAGTCATGTCTGGTAGCCAAGGATGACTTGCCTAGCTATTCCTTTCTTTGGAACTTTGTTTTGCATGAAGATGAAGATGAAGACCCTTGTTTGGTTAGTTGGCAAGCTTCCTTGGCTATTTGCTTGGCTCTTGTCTTACTTGCTAGACCTTCACTCTTAAAATATGCAAGATGAATTGCTCACCACTTAAGGAAAGCCACTCCTAGCTGATGAGTGTCATGGCTTATGCACTATGTGGTATATTCCAGGTTTCCCCTTGATTGGTAGTGTTTGAGTAAATTAATGTTCTTATCATTTTGTTTTCAGGATCCAGAAGAAAGCCATTTATTTATCTGTATTATAAATTTTTTTTGCAGTTAAATAATCTTATACCAATCGAAAGTCCATCTCTTCCTCTAGCCTATTTCACTATTTTCTTTGGGCTTGTGAGTGGAAACGTATGTATCATTTTCAAAATAACATAATATATATACAAATTTAAAAGGGGGTATATATTCCATGTAAAAGAAATCAAAATATACACAAGTGAAATTATGTCTCGAGAAAAATAAAGATAAGTATGACATGGTGACCTTATTCAAATGACATAACACATGTCTTGGTTATTGTCACAGAAATTTAATATCACTTGCAGCTGCTCAAGAAATATTGTTGTAACTTCGGGAGTAAAACTGTATATAACTTATTTAAGCCTCACGATGATGGGACTCTGGTGCACCGACCACCTTTTTTTTTATATCTATCTGGTTTCTTCATTGGATGACATGGAGTGCAACCATTTATTCATGTAGGGTCCAAAAGCTTGCCACCATACGTTAAAAACTCAGTAGTAACATTTTTATATCAGGGAGTGCATAATTATATTCTTTTGATGTTATTATAGATTACGATTTTTTTTGTAATTCCAGTTGAAACTATGGGAGTATAGAGAGAAGAAAAAGAGTGAGATTTTGAATTTTTTTGATATTGTGGTGTGTAGCCATGTGATGGTGTATTTGACATGTTTTTAGAATATTAACTCTTATTTATACTAATCATAATATTAAATAATTAGAAAAGTAAATATTGATAACGTAATAAGAAAATAAATGAACTAGAAAAACTAATCATAAGAAATAAAGCTGAAGTACTTCAAAACACTTTTGCATATAATCAAAATATGATTTGATATTTTTATGTATACTAACACGTTCCTTCAAGCTAAAGATGTTACGACTAAACATACTAAAAGTTTTGATGCAAGGTTACACGATAGATAAAGAACCAAACTGCATCTAGGATGGACCCACGCTGCATATGGAAACGGAAGTGTCGAATTGCATTTGAGATTAAACCATATGGCATTGAGGATAACTCAATGAAAGATGGATTACATTCCATTTGCAAATAGGCTAGAACCACGAAGCTAATCTCTTAGGCTTAATCATATGGAATTGATATAAGGTAAAACTAAGGATTGGACGAAATTAATGAAAGGCAACGAAGGATCAGACAAAAATGATTAGAGGTAATAAGAAATCAGGCAGAAATTATTGAAGGTAATGTTTTAGGTGAAATTAATTAAAAACTGATTGGCAATGCATCCCAAAGCAAAAGTAAAGAGAGATAAGCAAATTACTATTCTAAGAAGGAGATCCTGAATTCATCAGAGCAAAATGGAGAAACTCTCCTCAAGGTGGCTACCATGGGGGTACTAGTCGAAAACATGTTGGACGACAATGGACAATGAACCATAAATTGATTAACATAAGCAAGAGGTGCTTCTGGCCATTATAAGGATAGCACAATCGCAAGAACTAGAAACTAGTGTTGAAACATGGTTTGTAACTAAAAAAGGGTTACAAGTGATGACAATCTTAGAACAAAAAACTTAGAAACAAAGCAAAGTTGTTGATTTTATAGAGTTCTAACAACATATGTTATAGAGGATAATGCAAATAAATTTAAACTTTTAATTATAAGTCAATATTATGTCAGCTACTTCCCTTATTTTTATCATTACCACCGTTGTTGTTGTCATTGCTACCACTATTATCCCACAATTATTACTAATCAACCACACTAGTATTGTTATTTCAGCCATTGCCCTTGTCACTATTAATTATTAAATTTATTAGTATTATTCTATTATTGTATCAACATTGTCACTACCATTGACTACTGTTGTCATTATAGCTGTCACACTCCTTTGCATCAATACTACTTTTGTTACCAATTTTTCACTCTCCTTATACTATTAATATATTGTCATCACTCACATTCTCTTGTAACATTATTATTATTATTATTATTATTATCCTTGTCACTGTTGTTTGTGATTAATTTTTTTACTTGTAACTTCCCTTTAATTAGAGGCGTCAAATTAGAATTAAAATTCAACTTCTAATTCTCTTTAAATCTTAAACATAAGAATTTCAAATTTATGCATCTTACAAACTTTTAAGACATGTCCCCAAAAACAAACTTTTAAGAAATAAACAAATACTGTTTTATATTTTCCATGTGTCCTAGCATCAGTAACGCTTTACATTCTTGATTCTTGCAAAGAAACGTGCCTGTTACAAGGAATTGCCACAAACCGAGGAAAGATCCTGTTCTTAGAGCCTAGGAGATACACCTGAATGAGGGCTGCGTCTGTGTCCTATTTTATTTTATAATTCTCTATGTACTTTGCACCGTCTGATTGCACCATTAATCCAAATCAACTTTTTTTATTCGGAGGGGGATTTTGTTCATTTTTCAGGTTTAATTCTTCTCAGCTTAGATCAATTTAGTCCAACTAGGAACATCAAATATACAACCTTTTTTCCCCAGGTTGGTGACCATATTAAGCACTTCACAGCAGAACCAAAGATGTAGCAACGAGAAAGGCGTCTTTATAATGAATTGAAACTTCAGTAGTCGGAGGGATTTTAAGCCTGTTTAAGTTTCGGCCGGAACATAAAATCTGCTGCTCAAGTTGATAGAGAAGAAAAATACAAAACCAACAGAAGAAAAATGAAAAAACAAAAACGATCATCATCAGAGTAGTGACGGTTCTATTTCGAGAGCAATCAAACTAATGGATTTTCTTGTGGGAAACAACTTTTAATTCTTCAAATATGCCTTTCTTTGTGGTTAATTGCTTAATGATAAGGTCATATGACGACAATTTGATATGCATGTGCTGATTTAGTAGCTACCCATTGTTATAATCAAGCTATATACAGCACCCGAGGTAGTTAACTGGACCATAATCCTTTATAATGTAGCAGTTTCGAAATTGGAATAGCACGGCCGGGTGAATCAAATTGCATTTCCCAACTTGAAATGCACTTTTGATCCTTGGCTCCAAGTTAATTACCATAGTTGTATTTTAATGATTTGTAAAACTTGTAACATTTGATGTCTTGAGCCACTGATCCGAATAAGAAAAAGAACATATCATGGCAGGTAGATTTTGAGTGACAATCGTATTCGCACAGCCAAACATGCGCTCTGATTGCTAAATGCGATATAAACATAGAATAGCAATTAGTCGAAGTGAAAATTGAGTGCGGTAATTCGGCGTGTAACTCCACAACTACTAGGATCCTCACTATTATTAGCAGCTCTCTAAGCTATTTGCTCTCCGTTAATGTAATCATCAACTACATTCTTAATCTGCCCAATTATTCCCTACCTCTTATTAATCAGTTAATCTCCCGGCAAAAAGAAAAAACAGTGAACAAGTGGCAGAAGATGATAATCTTTTAGCAAGCATCCATCCTGAGTTCCTGACAATAGAGCTTCCTTCTCCTACCTCAATCATCATATGTCAAATTTATCCTCCATGTTAAGATAATTTCAATGTGTTAATCCAAGGATAAAAATAACACAAAACATCACAGAAACACTCAAATTTCAAGGAGCATCCTCAGATAGTCAAATACTCCTGATCCACTAAGCACAACCAAATTTGCCACTTTTAGATGGTGCTTCCATCACTAGATATCAAAGTCAAAAAGATTTCACTTGCAGCATTACATGCTTTATATCATTTCTGCCAAACAACATCACTGACCATCGACAAAGATAAACTCCCCCTATATCCACTCAAGAAAAAAGAACTTTGCAGGCAACAACAAAAATCAGCAACCATACCCCAGCTCAGCTACTTCCAACAATCCCAGTTAAAATACAAAGACATTGTTGAACAGTGAAACACTAGATTCCAACACTAACTGAATTTACATCATTGCAAACTTGAAATCATCCTGTTGCTAGGCATTGAAGACAGTTAGAGACAGATGTGGCAAATGGCATTAATTGCAAGCAACAAGGAAATTCAGAAAATTTAATATCATGATAATCATATAAAGCATACCAAACTTGCGATCATATCTACAAAATAGATGTGCTAAGTTGTAATAATTAATGCACCTGAAATGACAGGCTACATTTGTATTGGGAGAGAGGGACGGGGAATTATTTTCTAGGTATGGTAACTCTTCAAGAAACACCACCACATCCTAATAAATAGTAACCATAAAGATGTGTCATAGGCATTCCGATGGATAGAATCAAGTAATTAACAGAATTTCCCTTTACTTCAAGAAAAAAGCTTTCCAAATACGTTATATGGTGGTTTTTTCTCCCTCTCACTCTTCCAATTTACCAATGATAACACAGCTAGAATAGCTTCAGTAACAGAAACAATGAATTGCTCCAACAAAATTGCAGAGTTATATGTACTTGCACTGGATTTCAAAAAGTATGCATCTCAAATAAGAGCACCTAACGATTCCAAGCCTAACAACAAAAAGAGTCATGGGAGAACATACTAAAACTCAGTTCAGACACATGCATCTGAATTATCTACGGCTGAGAATCCTCCACTCACCGTCTACCTTGAGCAATAATATAAAACAAGCTAAGCTCAGGAGAATCCCTTTCCAAGCTTCTGAATTGCAGTGTACATTTTCCTTCTGGACCCAACAGCACTAATCCCCATATCCTTGAGATCCTCTAGAGTCAGCATAGGCAAAACCTCATCATCCACCTCATGCACTTCAAACACAGGAGCATAACGACCTAACCCCAACCCATTAAGCCAAATCCTAACCCCATCTTCACCAGACCTTCTATCCCCACATTTCCAATCCCTAACATCAGTATCGGAGGGCACTGACACATCAACCCCTTCATGGTGCTCCCTACCCTTAAACGACCTTCTATGCCCCTCAACCCCAAAATTCTCCATTGAATTAATAGGGCTTTGTTCTTTCAGAGGGCTTTCCGAATTCTCCACGTCAAACCCCCTATACCCATCATCCCCATCTTCACCGGCGCTATACTTTTCCTCCCCCTCTCCGCCGCCGCCGCCGCCACCACCATCGTCGTCGATTCTCGATACCCAATTCGATCTGACCCTCTTGGAAGCCCTCTTCTTGGATTCCTTGACCTTCCAGCTACCGATTGCGACGCTATCAATGTTCCCTTCTCTCTCGTTTGCTTCTAGGGTTTCGTTAAACTCGCTTAAATTGGTTAAAGGTCGAGTCTTTGAGGGTTTACCTGAGGCTTCCTTGTCCCTACGGTCGAACCCGAGTTTCCAAGACTTTGTGTTGCGACGCGCGTGGGAATCGTAGGGTTGGTCGCCGCCGATGTCTTCCAACCGGACACTGGGCCTTCGCTGCCGCTTCGATGCGATTGGTTCGGAAGAATTCAGAATTAGGGTTCCGCCGCCGTTTAATTGTCCCTCCGGCGGCTGAATCTCTGCCATTAGAATTGTCGATAATGCAGAATTAGGGATAGGGTTTTCGTATAGTAAAATTAATTCAAAAATTAGGGTTAGGAACGTAGTATAGGTGTGCAATTTAGTGGGTTAAATTAAAACAGAGTGAAGAAAAGAAGATGAACGGAATTGAAGGAGTCGGAGAGTGTGAATGTGTGTCTCTGTTTGTGTTCTGTGTGTTTTGCGCGCGCGATAGATGAAGGTTTGTGGTGCGACCTATTTCTAACCAGGAAACCACCCCATTAATTTTAGGAAAATTTTAAGGTCAATTTTCTGGGTCAAAGATAAATAATTACAAATAATATTTTTAATAAAAATTATATTATTATATTAAGAATATAATAAATGCTATTATAAAAAATATAGTAAATGCTATTATAACAAATATTAAATTCTTATTTCAGAATTGAAGATAAGTAATTTGAAAATGATAATTTTTTGTTGAAAATATAAAGCATTTATTAACTATAAAAGTATAAACAATATTATATTTTTAATAAAAATTATTATTATAGACTTAAATGCTAAGATTAAACATTCAAAAGAGTATATATATATATATATATATATATATATATATATATATAATGCTTATTATATTTTATGATTTTAATATGATAAATATACTTTTTAAAATATTTATTATTTTTAGATACTAAAATTTAATTATAATAAAAATATTAATTTTATTGATCTTTTATTAATGAGATGAAATTTTAATGCAAATAAAATTTTAAAAATAAATTTTATAACTTTTTGTATAACTGGGAGAAATTGTAAAAATAAAATATATAAAAAAATATATTATGTATAAAATTCAAAGAGGTCCGTTAATAATGTTAGATAGTTTACAAATGAATAAATTCTTTAACTTTCCATGAGATTATTAGAATTATAGTAAAATTATAAATTAGTTTTTATTAATATTAAAAATAATAATACTTGTATTAAGAAATATCTATTAATTAAATATGTAACAGTTAGAATAAAGTTAGTCCAAAAAGGTTTAGGAACTTTTATTTTAAATATTAGATCACATACTACTTTCATAAGATAATAATTTTTAAGTTCAACTACTCCATTTTGTTGTGGAATAATAATACAAGAAGACTGATAAAGTATGTCATGTTTATTCATAAAACTAGTGAAAGAAGCAGAAAAATATTTTTTAGTATTATCACTTCTAATAATGCATACACAAGTATTAAATTGAATTTTAATTTTTGTACAGAATTATAAAATATGGAAAAGATTTTAGATTTGAATTTCATAAAAAACAGTCATGTTACACAAGAATAATCATCCACAAAAATAATAAAATATTTGAAACTAGATTTAGAAATAACTGAATAAAGGTCTCAAATATCAGAATAAACAATTTCAAATGGGCCTGAGCCTTTTTATTTAAAGGAGGTAATTAGACATTGTGATAATGTTTAACAAACTCACATGACTCATTATAAAAATTAGACTTTATATTAGGATATAATTTTCTAATAAATCCTAAAGAGGGATGACCCAGACAACAATGAAGTTAGAAAGGATATATTTTTTCATTCCTAGAAATAATAGAAGCTTGTGGAAGTCCTTCTTCTTCGAGTAGGTACAGCCCATTAGATACCTTACCTCTACTAATAATCATCTATGTCAACAGATAATGAAAAACATAAAAATCAGAAAAGAATGTTACTGAATAATTTATTGATAAAGTGATTTGGCTAATAGATAACAAATTTAAAGGAAATTAAAGTAAATATAAAATAGAGGATAAAGGTAAGGTTAAAAATGGGGTGGTACACTCGTTGTCCTTAATATGGACACTATAACCACCAACGAGTGTTACAAAAGAATGAGAATTGGTTAGACAAAAAGAAGAAAAGATACTTGAATCCCCAGTCATATGATCAATAGCACTAGAATCAATAACTCAATACTTGAAAGAAGAGAAAAGACATACAATAGGATTACCTTTGTGGACAAAAGTAGCTGTAGAGAATGTAGACGGTTGTTGAAAAATCAGAAACTAAATATACTGAATAAATTATTCATCACTTATACAATACGTCCTTCTTTCTCTTGAGTAGGTATATGGGTGAGACACTAAGTTAGCAAAGCAGAAATTACCTTATGAGTGAGAAAATAACTGATTTTATAGAAAATGAGTGCACTGACTTTGATAATGGTCAAATGCGCCACAATTGTAACATTGTACATTACCACAACCTCCACTACGTTATGGCTACCACCTCTACCACAACTACGACTACTACAGTTACCGTATTAGACTGCTAAGATAGAATGGTATTAAGAACCTCCTAGAGTTCTCTGATTGGCTTACAATTCTTTGATTGGAACCCTCTCTTTTAACCTCTAAGGGGTTATTTGTTTTTATGTGACTCTCTTCTCTTTGTTTCACTGTGCTCTCTCTCTTAAATTCTCGTTCCTTTTTTTTTCCTCAAATTCTCTCTTTTTTGTTTCTCTCTTTGTTTCCTAAACTCTCAATTTTCTCATGCTCTCTAAAAGGTGTTAGTTCTATCTTCTTTTGATTCATCATCTTTAAACAGTATCCTTTTTTGAAGATTTAAACTTTTTATTTATAGGCATTTTTTGAAACACTAGATCCCATTTAATATATAATTATTTATATTTTTTATTTTAATAAAGGCTTCAAATTCCTATAATTCTTTATTTTTTAATGATCAGTAATCAATTTTTTTCTTTTTTATCGTCTCTCCTAAAAATTTATAAACTACTTTGATTATTTTTAAATTTTTAAATTTAAAATTTAAATTATTTTTTTATCTATTTTCTTAATTTCTTACAAAATTGAATCATTATATTTAATTTTAATTTTAAAATTTATTTTTAAAAAAGACAGGATAAAATTGAGTATTCAAAGAAGGAGTTGGGTCTTTTCAAAACGGTTATGGGTCATGGAATTAATCTAAATGCCAAAAATTACGATCAATGTACACCTCCACATAGCTGCCTCTGAAGGCTTGTTTACAATGGCTGAGTTACTTTTAGATGCTGGAGCAAGTGTTTTATCTAAGGAGAGGTAAGATCCAAATTTTATGTGAGCATATTTATCAGAAAATACTTTCGTAATCCATTAGCAGCTCTATGGTTTTAATGCGAAATCATGTTATTGCTAACTTGGGGGTGTCTTAGAATAGCATTTTCGTCTTGTTTATTGAATTGCAAAATAACATGCTTCAATACTTCCTGATGGCAGATGGGGAAATACACCTCTTCATGAAGCTCATACAGGTGGAAATTGAAATATGATCAAACGGCTTGAAGTTGCAAAAGTTTCACAGTTGGTTGAGTTATCCATTAGTATTCATGAAACTAAAGGTATGATCATGTTTCTTAGCACAGGGTACCATCTTGTGCGTCCTTTAGGCGTTTAGTATATTGACATTTGAACCTGGGGATTTTAGATACTCAGCATTTTGGATGTAAGGGATGTCAATATTCTTATGTTTTGGAAGTAATTAATTCTTCTTACTCTTCTTTTCTCCTCTACCTTTCAAACAATTTTTTTCTTCTCTTTTCAAAACTCTAAAAAAAAACCTAAACTATTATTAACAAAAGTCAAACTTTAAACCTTATAAACTTTTTTTTTTTATTAACTTTACATTACAAACTAAATATTCCAAAAAGAGAATCACAGGTTAAATAATCCACTTAACTATGTTCAGCGAGACCATAAATAAAAAAAGGATTTGGCCCACAAGCATAGCACAACTGGGAGGACACATGTAGAATCAAGTTTCCACAGCCGAAAATGATCGAAAGGCCTAATGCCCCAAATAAAAATGAAGTATGGCCCAATCAAAACCCAGCTAAGTAATACTTGCTGTGCTAGGACTTCGGGGTTTTGTTTGCTTCACTCATTTCCATATAATGGAACCAAAAACAACGAGCTATAAAAGCTTCAAAATGAAAATGCTCATTTGTTAATAACAAAAGAAAATGCCTATGCATCAAACAAGATAACACTTATATATTGAAGTTGTCTTGATCGATGATTTCTCTATTCAATTTTCTTTTGTTATTAACAAAACTGTCCTGTCATCGTTGTTCTCATAACAACTACTGCATCTCATGCAGCTAAATAAGAATTAAATATTGTCATAATTTCACATATAATGTGTTGAAACTCTAAAAATGATATCATCTGCATGACTATTAATTAACGTGATATCTACTCTTCTTGTTTGTTTTTACCTTCTGGAATTAATACAGATATATTTGTAAAGTTTGTCAGAATAAATTGTATCTGAGTAGACCATGTTGTTTTCTAGCATAACCAAAATAGACCTTATTGGATAACTTGTCTACAGAATTTTTGAGAAAATGGAATAATTTTTTTCCTCTCACGCGAGGTGTCTTGAAAATTTCACTAACTCTGTTAGCATATGCATACAAACAAGCACCAATATATAGAACAATCATAAAAATAACACTTTCCTCCAACAGTCCTTTTTTAAAAGTGTTATTGAAAATTAAAAGAAGTAGAACTTTTTTTATATATAAAAAATCACGTTAAGAGTATATTTAAAAATGATAAAAATGTACGAATATAATTTTTTATTTCAATTTCTTAACTGTGATATCTTAGAGAAATTTGTTAGTCCCTTTCAATAGAAAATATAAAATTTAAAAAGACACATGCATGCACTATAATGAAATTTTAACAAACTAATAATAATCACAGCTACTTTATAATGGGGAAAGTAATAGCGTCAATATCACACCTACTTTCAACTTGAACAAATTAATAGACGTAATTAATTGGATACAAAGCGTCCCCGACAAACTGTCTATCCCGGCAATTAGATCCTTAATGCCGGATCAATCTTCCCAATCAGCACTATCATTTGGACTACAAATTAAAGCAATATATATGTTATTTATGATGTTACAAACATAAAAGCAATATCATTATTAGCATCTAATAAGATTGGCCTCTATTGGTGACGAGTTTTTTTTTATTGGATCTCCATTCACACTAATTACGTCAAATCTTATTCTAGCTTTTAAAGGACCCATGAAAAGACCTCATTTTCAGACTATTCAATTTTGAAACTTCTTAATCATTCTATTTACAAAGACTAGATCTTAGGCAAAGATATTGGCGTATCATACATGGATGTCGGCTAGGTACCAAGACAAACAAGCTGATTAAGCTCTTGATAAGTCTCATGCCATTCAGTGTTTTACTAAACCACATGCAAATGCAATGTTCCATTGTGATAGCTACATATATGCTGTCGTTGGTAAAAGTTATTGCTCCCCAAACACTTCACCCTTTTTATTATTATTAATTAGAATTTCTAATAAAATAATAATATAAAAACGTATATAATTTCAATATATTTGGATTATGTTATATTAACTATAATCCCCATTCTCCAACCTGTTTTCATGCATGCTATTATCTTTTGAGACGAACGTGTAGATATATATTTCCCAATCAGAGAAGTAAGGAAGTGCATTGTTATGCGAAATCCACCCACTTATTTTTCTCATTAAAATCAATTGTGGTTTTTTAAATTCAAAAGCACGAATTTTAATATAATTTTATTAAACTTCAAAGGAAATATATCTGATTAAACCTTTCTCCCACGCTTCCATGAACCCCAAAGAAGGAGCTAGAACCTACCAAACAATGTAAAGAGGGTATGGCCCTGAGGCCCTAACTCATGAGCCCCCGATGCATACCATATATTCATGATTAAATCACATATGTTATAAAGTAGTGATGATGATTCAGCTCTAACATTTTGACGTGTCATATAAGGGTACCATATGAAATGGGAAGAGAAGCGTCCAGGAATATGTACGTGGCCAACTTCAAATTAGAGGGAAGTCACATATTGTTATGGTCATATATATCCGATAAATTGAGAACCTTTAAAGCTACATAACCTTTGCCAAAACAAATCCTAAATAGCACTATTTCACTAACTTTATTTTATTACACCACAGGAGAAAGATACTGTGACACGTGTCAAGTCAATGCATGTTGCTTTATGTGTAGTTGCATAAAAGTCAGGTAGGGTTTGGATGCTGACTTGTCATAGCTTGTACGCTCACACAATCAATACATCTGCAAATGTTAATTAACGCCATCCATCTGTGACCTTGGTTTCAATGGTTTGATTGGAAGACATTTTCAGGCTTTCTTTGACAGCAAAACTATATTTGTTTCTGTCACATCACATATTGATAAAAAGATTCCTTTTGGAGCAGATTTCTTCACTTTTCGCTCTATTTTCTACAGTTAACAGCACCGTACTGGTACTGTTGCAACAAGCTACCGTGCTGTAAGTTGGGTTAAATGTTAAATGGTCTACATATGTTGTATTGTAAGTGCATGTAGTGTCTGAGTTGTTTTAGAGAAATATATATTTATTTTAAATTTTAAAATTAATATCTGATTTTTTAAATAGTTGTGAATAAACATAGATTATTAGGCTAATAATGATTAAAGTAAAATATAATTTAATTTGGTCAACTTAATTTTAAATTATTAAATATAATTAAAATGTATGATTATATTAATTTTGTGTAAAATAAGCAGGCAGTTACTTATCTTAATTTAACTTATTTCTCCTTTTCTCTTTATTTGTTAAGTTTTATAATATTTTTATTTTTTAATTTAAAGCAACATTAATTTTTTATTAATTATACACATAATTTAAAATGAAAGTAATTAATTAATAAAAGAGGGTATAACAGAAAATCAGATGATAATTTTAACAAAAAATATTACATTTATTTCTTTTTTTCATGCAAATTCTTAAGGTGACAGATAATAAAAATGAAGTGGGTACTAAATTATTTAGATATTTTTTTAATATTTTAAAACTTGACATTATCACAATCGACCACTATCATCATCAATGTTAGACTACTACTTCGTGCCATCTTCTTATACGTTTCCTTATATGCCAATGCACTTGGAAAGGTGGATTCCATTTTCACATAATTGATAACTGAGATTTTAGAAGTATAAAGAAAAAGAGCATTATGTAAATTAAATGATACACACGTAAAATGGGGTGCTTAGTTAGAGGGGGAAAAGCATTAAGAAGTAGGAAGCTTTATCAACCAAAGACAATGCTTCAACTGCATTACTTGTCAGCTCACGGGCTAGGACCCTAGTCGACATGATAGTATAACGTTTAGAACATGTGGGATCCTTCAATTTCAGATGGATGTGTTGGTGAGAAACAAATAAGTACAATCGATTCTGATTTTCACCGTGCTTTTGGTTGGAAAACTGGTAAGAGAAAAACAGTAAAAATAATCCAGAATCCTTTTTTGGAAAGAAGATACAGTGAAAGGCCAACAATGGTTGAATTAATTTTTTTAAAATAAAGTTTAATTTAAGGAAAAATAAAAAGAGAAGACACTTTTTAAAAAAAAATGTAAGTTATTAAAAATAAAGAGAGAAAGATAAATATCATAAGGATTTATTTGTTTTGTGGTTTTAAAAATATTTCAAAAAAATTAAAAAATAATTCTTATTTGTCAAGATGAGTTCTTAAAAAAATTTAAAATTATTTTTTTTATTTTCAATTTTTAATACTATAAAACAATAATAGCTTTAAGGTGTTTTGATTTTTTTATTTTCTTCTTAAAATCTAATTTTTAAAATTATTTTAAAATGTAATTTTTAAAAATTAAAAACAAAACAAGCCTGTCTTTTAAAATTTCTTTCTCAAGCAAATTTGCGCTTTCTTTATTTGTGGTTTTACTTTAATCATTAATATTTAAATGAAGATTTTTGTAACTCTCTTCTTTCTTATTTGTTTTCTTATTTTTTATTCTTTAAAATATTTTTTCTCTCTTTCAAATTTCTAAATAAAACCTTATATACCCCATGCTTATCATTTTAGAAAACAAACAATATTTAATGCACCTACACGGACAAGAATACTTTTTGGTATTGGAAAAAACAACTATTCATGGTTGCTAACAAAAAAATACACATTAAGTATCCGTAGTTTGAAATGTATTGAATCATATTATTTACTAGTAAGTAGTTAGTGTATTATATAAGTATTTACAAATTTAAGTATGATGACAAATATTTAAGAAAATTTTGATTTAATTAACAAAATACTGTGTTGTTTGACAATAAAAAATAAATTTAAATATAAAAATATAAGTATTTGAAATTTTAAATTTTGAATAATTTTAAATATATATTACTTAATAATAATTTGTAAAAACCTAATTAAAAAAGTAAATATTGATTTAATAAAACAAATCTCGCGATGTTATATTTAAGAACAAAAGCTAACATTTAATACTAATTATACATATGAAAATTATTTTACAGATCTCATGTGTATATATATATATATATATATATATATATATATATATATAGAGAGAGAGAGAGAGAGAGAGAGAGAGAGAGAGAGAGAGAGAGAGAAATATACTTTAATTTGAGTTGAAAAACATAAAAGCCACTAACATTATCAAGTAACTAAGTATTAAATATATTAAATAATTATGATAAATATTTATTATTAAGCATATGAATTAATTATTAAAAATCATTTAAATTTAACATTTAGTTTAGAGTTCGTGCTTAACTGATAAAAAAAATATTTTAACTTGATTTGTAGTTTCAAATTTTTAGTTATGTAATTGTGAAAATATTTAGAGAGATTCACAAAGTAGTTTTAAGTCTCGTGAAATGCTTAATTAAGTAGTAAAATCCAATTAAGGGTGTGTTTGCTGGTTACAAGGACATCACAACAACAACTTTTTTTTCGCCCCGTAAAAAACATTGACCTATCCATTGACAAAGACCTATGGAGCGACTTGCCTTCTCCTGTCATGTCCCAAAGTAGAGTAACATTAATTTAAAAAAGTTTATAAATTCCCATTCCTTTTTCCGATTAATTCTTGTAAATAACTTACCATAAAATCAATCATTATTTTGAACTAAAAAGTAATATTACGTGTTGCCTATTATTAAAAAGAACAGTTTAAATATAATATTATGTGTATTTTTAGTGTTATTTTTAATTAAAATTCAATTTAATATATAATATATGTAAATTGCTAAAGTGAAATTTTAATTTTAATTTTAATTTAAAAAATAATTTTTATCCTTTAACTTTAAATCTAAAGACAAGTCATGTAATTATCGTCACGAGAAGGGAAAAAAAAAATTAGAGGAGTCAATTATTCATGGGAGTATCATATCCTGACATTTTTTTTTGCTTTATAGTATTATACGACCAGTAATAGCTGAATGATATAACTTTGACCGACAAGTCAATCATACACAATTTATCTCAGATTATGCTTCTTCTTTTTTATATAGAGATTATTATAGTTAAAGTACAAAATACCTGTCATTTTTTTAACAAAGTAAATTAGGTAACCATTTAAACAGTAAACTCAGTTACATTCTCCTTGATAAAAAAATCAATATATTCAATATTTTTCATCAAATTAAGCCAACAAAAAAAAACACAGATATACCATCATAATTATATATATAGCGCTGATGGGCTGACGAGTCTGCTTCAGCAAAGGGAGAAAACGTACGAGTCACACTAAAAAGTTGAACTTGGCGGAAAAAATAACATGATCACAAACTTACTAATTGTACGATTTGAGTTTGATTAGTTAATTATTTTTTGTCTGCTTATATAACATCAACATACTAGCCAGGCTTTCTGACTGTACCGTAGCAGGTACATTGGGATCTGTCTATTGTCGTTAAATCAAACGGCCAAAGACCGTTAATTTAAAATATAAATTAATAAATATTAAATAAAAATTATTAATATTTTTTAACTAATATATTAGAGGACGAATTAATAAGATTAATTAAAATTTCATAAGAGAAAATTCTGAAGAATCTCCAAACATGCATTGAAGTTAACTGCACCAAGAAATACATGTCTCGTCTTGTCAAGGCCTGATGAGTAGCATCAAAATTTCATTGCTGAATAACGGTGACATTAACTGTATCAACAGAATAACTGCCACCACAAGAATCAATTTTCTTTAATAATTTTCATGACATAAATTTCAATGTCTGGTGTCTGTAGGATTGACACAGAGTGTCTTGGAATTTGCGCATTATGTATATTGTACAGGAACAGAACAAAGGATCTAGTAAAAGATATGGTCTTATTTGGTCGGCATTTTCTGTCCTTCGTGTTCTTCATCCATTAATTTTGTTGCACTTTATTCATCATGTTCAAAGGTCTCTTTAATCTGGTGGACTAGGAAGGAACCAAACCATTATCCTTATACCACGAATTCCCCATTCTTCTAAATGATCATATATTCGCATACAGTAGTGATACCAACCGTAACTTTGGTTTTTCGTGCTCATGCATAAGAATCTCTTTTTCATTGCTACTGTCACTTGTTTGGAATTTCCCAACCTACTAGTTACTTCCTTACAAAATATTTAAAATAAAAGGGTCACGATTGGGCTTAAGAACTAACTTATATTCATAAAAAGGAAATTAAAATACTTGTCTCACACCCTCTCTATCATATCACGAGAAGGATGAAACAAATAGGGAAACCAAAAAAAGGGAAAATAGATATTATTAGAAAAAGAAAGTGTTACGAAAATCAAAATCTTAATCAGTATAGTTTTATTACAAGGCATGCTTTGAGAGCTTACAACATGTTTGAAGCATTGTAGGGGAGCGCTGTAAAATTTGATATCAGTTGAAGGAACACGAATTATTGTCAAATCCATATGGATTAAGAAACTTTGGTCGCTGGTCTTCTACGTCCCAAAACTGACCACCGGTATACTGAAAATTACGTTTTAGTCAGAATAAGAAAAATAGTAAAAGCCCTTCTTTCTCTCTCTCTCTATTTTTTAATTATTTATTCTTGACCATGTCTATATATAAACACATGCATACACACCTTGTATCTATCTAAAGGGTTATTTGTTGGACAAACTTTATCATCTGTGGAATTTTAACATTTGCGTAAAAGAATGGAACAAGAAGAATCCAAGTCTAGATCAAATGATTTCCAATACCGTTTCATGAATCTAATTATTTTAGAAGATAAAATAACTGTGTAGTTATCCCCAACAGTGTTGGCAGCCAAGAAAATAAAAGTTTCACCGTATCTTTGGATATTTCTTTTTTACATTCCCAAATCATGCATGCCTAAAATATATAAACCAATTGATTTTATAAACAGTAATACTTTAGATATTTTGTCAAATAAGAATTGATTCTTTGATCAATCAAATTTTAAAAACCATGTCTTCATCTACACTTTAAAAAATATCAACTTCAACCCTTAACGTAATTTTAAGCAATTAAAAATGTTATTATTTTATTAGAAAATAGTTATAATAATAAAACATAAAAGTCTAATAAATACTACTTTTAATAAAAAAATTAGATATTTTAAGACTGAAGTTAACAAAATTATTATTAAAAAATTGCTTCATCCAAAAAAAAAATAAAATCGAATTCGCTTTTAAAATATTGATCTTAAACTCAAATCAAATTTTTTAAATATCAATTCAACTAATATTTGAACCAAACAAGTGGGTTCATATCTAACATACCTCAAAGAAGACATTCGACCTCTGCCCTTGAAGAAAAAGTGAAGATGAATAATCCAAAAGATAGTCATTATTAGCGGTGGCGAAGGTGTTGTTGTTGGTGGTAGTCAAGGTGGCTGTGTCAGCAAAAGCTGTGGTCTGGTTGGGTCGGCATTGTGGTGCACATGGAACTATTGGTGATGCTGATGCTATATTATTTAATTTCTGAAAATATTGTGAGAGACAAAGTGTCACATCAAAATTACTTGAAACAGCTACGTATATATACACATATACATACAGGTAGCACAAGAAGACTTTTGGGTTATTTTTTTCTCACCTGATCAGGTCTAACCAACAGGGTGTCTAGGTCCATTGACAAGTCAAAGAACATGGGATTCACGGAGGCAAGTTTCATTGACAAGAACTGCAGAATATATAGCGAGGTATAAAGCTATATAGTTAGTTTGTTTAGGCATTGTAGGTAATGAAAAAGGTGGATTAATAAGTAAAAAAACAAATCTTAGTAATTTGTATTTTTAGTGCCACTTATACCTCCACTTGATTCTGTAAGGACTGAACATAATTGATTATTTCGTCCAACACAAGGGCCTTTCCGGTTACCTAATAATATTTATAATGAACCAAATCAAACGTAGCTGTCAAAAAGAACTGATAGAAACATGTAACTATATATCTCAATCAAGATATATGAATATATAAAACTCAACAAGAAAAGTTACAAGAGATGAAACTTCACCTTATCACAGCCTGGCACAAGTCGTTGCAACATCTTCATCCTTTCACTTATTTTCTCTCTTCTTACCTGAAATCCATTTAATTTTTTGCAACATTCACAATGAATGAGACATGAACTTTTGGGGCAATAACACGAGGGGACCAAGAGAGAGATAATTTATAGTAGTTGTTGTTGTTGTTAAGTGTAATAGTGCATTGTACCCTTTCAGCAAGGCTGTGGCTATCCGTTGCTTGACCCCTTCTTGCTCTGACGTGGATATACCCCGTTGGAGGCTCTTCAGCACCTTTTTTCTGATCCTTCTTCTCTTCTTTTGGCTTTACCCCTCCATTACTCTTCTTTTGTTTTTTGTTTCCCCCTTCCCTTGAGTCCTATAATAATTTATAAAATAAGCATAAAGTAATTACAAATTAATAACATGAAACCAATCATTGTGTTTAACATATATAGTGTATAAGGCAAAATATTGAAAAATATGTATTAAAAACTGTAACCAAAAGTTAACCTTTGATAAGGGGCTAACCAAGGAAGATCCATTTCTTGCTCTCTTTTTCTTCTCCGTAGGGCTCACCTTCTGAGTGACCTGTTCACCCTTTTCAAGCTTGTCCACTACCATTGAGGTCTCAGGACTTGGGTTTTTAACCACAGAAGGTTCAGTGTCACTGATAGTAACCTTGGAACTTTGATCAACACAACTAGTTTCCTGATTGGTGACACTAGAAGAAGTTTCTTGATGAATAGAGTGAATATATTGGTGATGAGAAGGAAGAGGAAGCGGAGTATTCATAAGGGCATGTTCCTCCAAAGAAGACATAGTAGTATTCGTAGGGAAACATGTGGAGTCAACAAGAAAGGGATGGTAGTATTGGTATGAAAAAGCTGCCATTTGATGAGAGCTATGGGTTTGAAGATTGTGAAGAAAGTGATGGAAGAAAATTAAGCAAGGTAGTGGTGGTTCTGATGATACTCAAATACTCAAAGGTAGCGACAGATGTATCAGTGTGGACTCAGCAAAAGTTGTTCTGTGCAAAACTTAGAGGGCAGGCCTATATATAAAGCTTTTTTGGCACATAAAATGCTGAAAATCTTTATGCAGTAATTCATTCCCATGCAGGGACAGTACATTTGACCAGTCTAATCTCATCAACTGCATTTTTTCTTCTCTAACGTGACTGTCAATAATAAATGAACCTCAGTGGACATAAATAAAATTAGGGAACAGTTAAGAAATGATAAGCATATTTTATTAAATATTTTTAATTAAATGTTAATTTTGACAAGCTATCAATATAAAAAAACTATTATTATTAATTAATTAAAAATGACCTTAAAATAATTTTTTAAATTAGTTATTATAATGTTTATAATTATATAATAATTTACAGTTAATAGCTGATGTAGAAATATTACCATTATATATTAATTAATTTTAATAATTTAAAATGGTTTTTAACTTAAAAATGATTAAAATAATAATTATTTTATTATTATAAGAGTATACTAATAATATTCAATTTTCACTTTTTTCAATAATTTTTACTTTTAATATTTAAACAAATTTCTTAAGATAATAATTAAAAAAATATTAAAAATATTAGATAATTTATTTTTTAAAATAATAAAATCCTCTCTTTAATAAAAATTACTTATTTTTCGTCAAGGCATTAATTAATATTTGCCAAACGATTAAATTGATTATTTTGTTAGTTGATCCAGGACTTTTGTTTGGCTTACCAATTTCAGGTTAGAAACACTGGTTATACTGTAAAGAATTTATCTGAAACGTATTGAAAGAAGAGTTAAAGTTTACCATTATTAAAACGATTCATTTTTATGAAAAAACTTTTAAACTAATTAATAATATAAAAAATATATTAATAGTATGAAAAAAGAAAAAGTAAAATTCAACCTAAAACTAATGCTTGAGTTTTCACTAGTAATTTTACTTAGCTTAAGAAGTGGGTCACTCTTCTTTTTCCTTTTTGAGAAAATTTATAACTACTATTATCTTGTTGAAGATAATAACCTAGATTGTGTTGTACTATTATTTGTAAGTGTCCTTGGCCATAAAACCAGGGAGTTATTTACGCAATGTTTAGGCTAGTTGAATAGTAGGAAATAAAGCTGAACCTGTATCAGGTACTTGTTCTGGTCCCCTGGATATGTTTGGTTAGGCTTGGGTCATATATAAAGTCCGATCATATTAAAAAACTTTAACTTCTCTGTCAAGGCCTCATAAAATAATTGTTATGCATACAAATATTGTTTCATCTGTCAACATGAGAATTTCCACAAAATGAAATAAAACTAAACTTAAACTTTGACTCCAAGTATTCATCGGATCCCAACACATCTCAGGCTTAGAATATTATTTTTTGGGAAAAGACTTGTGTTTATTTTTTGAATAAATTTTTTTTTTGGTGATGCAGAATTTAAAAAAAAATTAAAACTGTGAAATTGTTAAATAATACTTATTGCTATTAAAATTGGACTGAGCTTACTGATCTAATCGATTTAACTGAGAAGTAACCAGTTCAATTAGGCTAAAAACCTCAGTAGAGTAGAAAATTTGTTAAGGACCGATCAAAATCAAGAAAGAATCGAGGCAGAAAAACAATTTGAATTTTAGCCTTTAATCACAAACAAAGATGCACTACTTTATGTGGCTCTTGTTCCTCATTTGCAAACAGTTTTCTATTGTTCTTAATTGCAAGGAAAACCGATTTGCTGTTCATTATTTATCGCAAACAATTGGCACGGTCTCGTCTATTATATGGCTCTGTGGCTCGTTCTTGCAAGGTTTAAAATACTAAAATTACAATAAATCCTTTTATAAAGTTTAAGAAAGTGAACCTCAAATAATAAAAACCAAAGTTGTTTAACAAATGAAATTGACATTTACAAGAGATAATTCACTGCAACTCAATTTAAATTATAACATCAAAGATATTATTGATAATAAAAATTATTATTCTGCATGCTTTTAGTAATGATAATATTAAAGACTTTATATATAAAGATTGATTTATAATTTTTTTTATAGGTAGAAACTAAATTACAAAAGTAAGTTAAATATAAAAAGAAAAATATTATTTAAATTGAGTTTATTTAACGTTATTTAGTTTAAAAGTAATATAATATATTGAATTAAGATTATTTAACGTTGTTTAGTTTAAAAATAACATAATATATTAAATTAAGAATAAAAATATTTATATATACTCATTTATAAATTTTTTATATGTAGAAATTAACTTATAAATTATGTGAGTTAAATATAAAAATAAAAATACTATTTAAACTTTCTTGCAACAACAAACAAAAAATTTATTTATTTTTTAATGTTTTATGCTTTAATTACAGACAAAAATTTACCTAACCTAGATCAAAATGCATTAAGTAATCTAAATTGATAGCTTTAAATAAGATAAATGTACAATTTTTTATAAATATTTTTTTCAACTTGTAACTTTCCCTATCTTAAGGTCATTATCTCCTTTCTTTAGAGATTTTAATAATAAAAATAATAATATCTAAATGAGATTTTATTGTTTGAAGGGTGATATCCAATAATTTGATAAGCCAAAATTTCAGACCATCTAATGAAGTTTGTGTGGTTAAGATTTGTTTCGATCGTCAGGGAAAAATAAAGCTGCTCGTGTAAATAAACAGGAGAGTGGGGTCGTAGTTAAAAGTGGTTCATAAGAAAAAAAAAATCCAAAAAAAGTGCAAAAAAAAAAGGGTCATAACTAAGTATTTGAAAATTTAGAGACTACACGTAACATTTTATAAGTTAACTACGTCATAATTATGAAGTAAACGTTGAATTGAGAAATTTAAGAGACTAAAAGTAAAAAAAAAAAAGTTAATTAAAAGTTTACAAAATTATAAAAACAAAAACACATTTGTCTTAAAATTTTATTTACACTAAAGTTTTAAAAATGCCATCTTTTACTTTAATTTATTTATAATGGTAATAATTTTTTTTAAAAATTGATAGACTTTATTAAGTTGAAAATTTCTTGCAATATGTTTATATTTTAATTTAATAATTTATATGTAATGTACAGAGACTTTTTTAATATAATATATATTATAGATAGATAGATCGTAAAATTTTCAAAAATTTAATAAATATAATATTTAAATTAACTCTTTAAATATAAATTAACATATTTTTTTTATAATTATTCGTATAAAAATAATTATTTTAAAATGAAATAGTCATACATTATACAGACTACTACTTATTTTAAATGACTGAGTAATATTTACTGTTATTTTTATTTATTATTTACTTTTAAGTGTAAGTGGGTGCTAATTGAACTTTTTCAAATACTTTCTCGCAATATTGAGTTATTCACTGTATCTTTTAAAAAAAAATTGAAAAGAAGGTGAAAAATTATTGTGCTTTGAAGTTTAAAATTATAATAAAATAATAAGTCACCGAAAGTGCTCTTTTTCACACACACATGATATAAGAAACTATAGAACTTGTTTTTGGGATAAAAAAAGGTCATGAAGAAAACAAAAAAGTAAAAAAAAAAAAAAAGTTTCTTAATTTTAAAAATTTGTGTCAGTTATTCTACAACCCGCTGACCATGTTTCACACAGAAAAGACCAAAACGTAGGAAGGTTCATGTATAGAACGATGAACTAGAACGTGTTCAATGGTTTTGTTGAGAATGAAAAGGACACATTATTGTTCAGAGCAGAAGTAATGTCATTTAACATTCAATTTCGCTATGCTATCGCATGGACCATGACCTTTGAAATCGTGATCACTCACTCTTGTGCTGCACTTTTTTTTTATTTTTTTTTATTTTTACGTGAATTTTCCTGTTTTCTTCTATCTGATTCGTCAAAGGAAAATCACAACTGCTGTTTATGGGAAATATAGTTTTTTTTTTTTCGTGAAATTATATGATTGATGAACTACAGCAATACTTGATTTAGTTTTTTTTTTTTTTTTTCTGGAAGATAAGTTTTGGAGTTCATAATGATTTAATTTGATTAGATACACATTTATTAAACACCAAAACTTATGGAGGAGAGATTTTAAAGATAAAGAAAGGATGGTGTATTATTTGCTTTATATATATATATATATATATATATATATATATAATATTTAAAATTAGTTTTATCAAAATTAATTTATCCCAATATTAAATGAAATGGACCCTAATCTAACTAATAACCATTACCCTTTATCAATAGTGTGCCCACTTCTCTCCAACTGTATATAAATTATTATTTCACTCTTTTTAATTCATTTTATCTTTCGTATTTTTGAAAATATTTTATTTATGTATTACTTTTAACTAAAAGTTTAACATAACATTGTTTTAGTTTTCAAAGTCTCACTTTAAGAATTAAAGGTAATAATATTTTATAAACACCTATTTTTCTCAATCTATAAGGCATTTATAAAATTGTGAGACGTACAAAAGGTAAATTGTGCGATTAGCCTAATGGCATTACAAAAAACATTAATTAGGTTTTACCGATTATAACCTTCTTAAAATAAAGAAGTAATTAATTAATAAGAGAAATAAACAATATAACAAAGAATTGTATACAAATTTTAATGAAAAAATAAAAACATTGAATTTACTTATTAATTTTGTGTCAATATTTTAAAGTATTAGATAAAAAAACAAAATAAATAATTATAGTGACATTAAAATTAAATGATTAATTAGATTTTAATAATAAATACTGCTGTTAAGTACAACAGTACTGTTGGAGACATGCCTGTGATTTATTGAATAAAAATAATAAATTTAAAATGAAACAGGATAGAAATCACGCCATGTATTTCGCATGTACTATAAATTAAATAATCCTCTTTTTTATAAGAGAGCACAAAAATTCACTAATCTTCTCCTATTAACTACCTTGTAAGTTTTTTTTTTCATTAAGGATGCGCATTAATTAATATATAATACTACTTTTTTTCGTATACAATTATAAAAACTAATAGTATTAAAATAATTTTAGTTTTTTCATATCATAATGTGCATTAAAGTTACAAAATTAATTTTTTTATGGTGTGAAAATTAGTATATTTAGTTAATTTTATT